AATAATAATGAACGGTGTTTCTGTAGTGGTAGTTGTAACCTCTATTGTTGGTGTAATTACTGTAGTGGGAGTAATAGGAATTGTTTCTGTTGTGATAGTAGTAACTGGAGTGGTCACTGTCGTGAAAATTGTAGTCTCAGTTGTAGTTTCTATTGTTAACGTAATAATGAAAGGCATTTCCGTAGTTGTGTTAATAACTTCTATTATTGGTGTAGTTACTATAGTCGTGATAGTGGGAGTTGTTTCCGTCATTTCTGTTGTTTTTTCCGTTGTAGTAGTTAGAAGTGTGGTCACTGTTATAGTTTCAGTTGTGAAAGTAGTAACGGAAGGTGTTTCCGTAGTTGTAGTCGTAACCTCTATTTTTGGTGTAATTACTGTAGTAGTAAATGGTAACGTTTCGAGAATAATTATTTCAATGGTTGTTGGTGGAATTACAGCCGTGGTTATCTCAGTAGTTGTAATTTCTGGCACAGTTGTTGCGGTAATAGTCGTTGGAGTAGTTGTTTCTGGCGATGTTGTGGTTGCAGTAGTTTCTTCAGTGGTAGTAGGTGTAACCTCAGTTGTGGTGGGAGACACAGTTGGACTTTCCGTAGTTTCTGTTACCGGTGTTGTGGTAATAGTTGTTGCTGTAGTTATTGTTTCTGGGGTCGTTGTCGTAGTTGCAGTAGTTTCTTCAGTGGTAGTAGGAACTTCAGTAGGTGTAGTTGTTGGCGCAATTGTACTTTCGGTTGTAGTCTCTGTCACAGACGTTGTGGTAATAGTCGTTGGTTTAGTTGTTGTTTCCGGCGATGTTGTTGTGGTTATGGTAACTTCTTTAATAGTAGTAGGAGTCACCGTTGTTGTAGTGGGTGGCAGAGTTGGATGTTCCGTGGTAGTTTCCGGCACAGGAGTTGCGGTCATTGTAGTTCGTGTAGTTGTTGTTTCTGGCGACGTAGTCGTAGTTGCAGTGGTTTCTTCAGTGGTGGTACGAATTGCAGGAGTTGTAGTGAGTGGCGCAGTTGTGATTTCCGTTGTAGTTTCTGGAAAAGGTGTTGCAGTAATAGTAGTTAGTGTAGTTGTTGTTTTTGGTGACGTTGTTGTGGTTACAGTTGTTTCTTCAGTTGTGGTAGGAGTAACCTCAGTTGTTGTAGGTGGTAGACTTTCTGTTGTAGTTTCTGGCGACATTGTAGTTGTTTCTTCAGTTGTAGTAGGAACTATAGCAGTTGCAGTAGTTGGCGGAGTTGGACTTTCCGTTGTAG